CTAACTAACTAACTAACTAACTAACTAACTAACTACTACTAACTAACTAACTAACTAACTAACTAACTACTAACTAACTAACTAACTAACTAACTAACTAACTAACTAACTAACTAACTAACTAACTAACTAACTAACTAACTAACTAACTAACTAACTAACTAACTAAGCCAGCAATGATCGATAAAGTCATATTCTGCAGGAAAACTTATATGGGGGGGAGGGTCAATTAAGCACTAAAAATTTTGCCACATTTATTTGTGGCGAATTTAATCACTGCACACGTATTTTAAAACAGTTATTACTGTTAAAACTGTCCATTTTTAATATTTCTGGAAAATTTCAACCCTCTGGCTCTTTTCGTTCTAATGGGCTTTGGCAGAAAGACAAACGAACATGGCTAAATCATCTTAGAATTTTATAAGCACCCAAGATATACACATACAATGTATATACTTTTTGGGGTTCTGTGACAGATATTTATTTAATATAATAATAAAACTATTACGAAATAACTGTTGTTAACTTTAATATATAATTATTAAAGAATAATTTTATTTAAATATAACGGTATAGTTGCAATTAGATCCACATATAATTTCCACAAATGGAAACAGCTGTTTTCTATATTTCTCTTTTATTTTCTTTTGATACAGCAGTAGTTTGCAGCAATGATAATATAGTGTTTTAAGAACTGTCTTACCTACAGCAAAGATAATAGTGTATAACAATAAAGCTGCCATATGGTGAATTATTACAACAGCTGTCATTTGGCGAATTATATAAAGCGCCCTCTAGATGTGAATGTTTAAATAAAAAACTGGTTGGTATTTTGACAGTCGGACAATTGACATTTTGTGCAATCAACTTCAGTTCGTAAACAGCAGCCGTAGTGTTTAATACGTTAGATTTTATTTCGATACGCCGAACGGGGTGTTACGCGAGTGCTGTTTGTTATTATTTTTATTTCCTCTATATATTCAATTGCGTGTGTAGAAAATCTGTATTATTAGTGTTTTTTTGGTTACTAAAAATGTATTAATTAATATTTAAAGGCAAAAGAGTATAAATCAACGAAAATTTCTATAAGTAAAATAATTTAGTTAAGAAAATTATACAAAAAAATATAATTAAGAAGAGAAGAAAACAAAAAAATAATAAAACGAAGTGGTGCGTGTGTTAACGTAAAAAAATTTATATGTATGAAACCGACAACAACAACGAAAAATAAAGAAAAAGAAGAGTCATTGAGAAAAAAAAATGAAATTAAGAATTTAAAGAGTAGATAGAAGTGGTATGAATTAATTATTAATTTAGGTATGAGTTTTTATATTAAAGAGAATAAAAGAAGAAAGTGTTAAAAAATTTAATTTCAATTTAAACAAAAATCTGGAATTTCATTGATTTAATAAATTTTGTTTTTGTTTTCAATATTTATCTTTAACTTATGTTTTGACCAAAACAAATACGATAACAGTAGTAAAAAATTAACAACAAAAACAAATACAAAGTACACATTGCAAATACAAAAAAAAAATCAACACTTTGGAGAAGAAGATAAACATTTAACAAAAACAAAACAGAATGTAAAGCAAAGAAAACAACAAAAAAAGTAATTCATATTTTAACACACCACACCCTTTAATAAATTTGTTAAAACAAAATCCAAAGAAAAGCAGAAGATACACGACAACAAAGAAAAAGTAACAACAACAAAAGAAGCTTAAATTTTAAAAATATTTTGGAAATGTGTCCTTGAATGGTTATTTGAATAAAACAACAAAAAACTATAATAAAGGAATCAAAACAACTGTCAAACAACCAACCAACCATCCAGCAGCAACCACAATCAAAATAACAACAATAATAACAAAAACAACAACCATAACAACACAACAAATAAGTGTCAACAAAAGCCTTTTCATATTTCTACTGCATTTTAGTGATATTGTTGTTATTGTTTTAAGTCTAATTGACTCTCACAGGAAGTGATGTCATTTTAACAACAAAAACCCATCTTCAAAAGCTCTCTTTGCTTTCACAAACAACATCACAACAACAATAACAAGCAACTCACTTAACAAACCTTGACAATTTGTCAAATGTTTGTGAGCAGTACTTTAATTTGCAAATAAACAAAAGAATTAAGAGTAAAAATATCATATTTAACAAAGTTTTTTCTTAAAACATAATTTATATTTAAAAAAAGTGTTTTTGTGCTATTGTTTTTTTAAAACGTTTTGTGTTATTGCTTTTATTGCAAAAATGCCTTTAATAAGGCATCCTCGAAAAGTTGTGCCTCCTTGTAGAAGAGCAGCAGCCGCAGCAAAATCATCATCATCATTTCACGGTTGTTTATTCTATTTAATCGTACTTACCATATGTCTGCCAATCTTTATCAATAACAGTCCTGGTGTTCGGGCTGCTGTTGTTGCTGTACCAACAACAACAACAAAGTCCTCAACGAATAATGTCAAAACGGATACAGCACAGTCAAAAGGTGAGTTTTTCTGTTCATTCTTAACAATTCTAAATTGTATTTCTTCTCCATTTGTTATTTATATTTTCTTATAAAAATTCTTTGTGTGTACCAAGTCTCTGGGGAATTTGGAAAAGAAAAACTAATATATTTTTTATCAATTTTGTTCTCATATAAGCTAGTGGAAGAACAACTTAAGGGATTTTTTTTGTACTTCTGCTGAAATATTTCTTATTGGAATCTTATAAATTGCAGTTCTATTTAGGAATTTCATTGAAAAGGCATTTAAAAAATTATAAGAGTATTTTTTTATAAAGGTAAGAAGCTGAATTTTAACTTGTTTGTTCCCTTAACGGATTGAAATGGGATTATATAAGCTTATCTCTAGAATTCTTCAAACTTTATGTATAGATATATAAAAAGACACCAAATTTATGCCAAGAAAGTACTTTTTTGCTTGAAAGTACTAAATTATTTTCATGCATTTCCATTAGTCTATAGTCTAGTCTATAGTATATTCTATAGTTTATTCTATAGTCTAGTCTATAGTCCAGTCTATAGTCTAGTCTATAGTCTAAAGATTAGACTATAGACTAGACTATAGACTAGACTATAGACTAGACTATAGACTAGACTATAGACTAGACTATAGACTAGACTATAGACTAGACTATAGACTAGACTATAGACTAGACTATAAACTAGACTATAGACTAGACTATAGACTAGACTATAGACTAGACTATAGACTAGACTATAGACTAGACTATAAACTAGACTATAGACTAGACTATAGACTAGACTATAGACTAGACTATAGACTAGACTATAGACTAGACTATAGACTAGACTATAGACTAGACTATAGACTAGACTATAGACTAGACTATAGACTAGACTATAGACTAGACTATAGACTAGACTATAGACTAGACTATAGACTAGACTATAGACTAGACTATAGACTAGACTATAGACTAGACTATAGACTAGACTATAGACTAGACTATAGACTAGACTATAGACTAGACTATAGACTAGACTATAGACTAGACTATAGACTAGACTATAGACTAGACTATAGACTAGACTATAGACTAGACTATAGACTAGACTATAGACTAGACTATAGACTAGACTATAGACTAGACTATAGACTAGACTATGGACTAGACTATAGACTAGACTATAGACTAGACTATAGACTAGACTATAGACTAGACTATAGACTAGACTATAGACTAGACTATAGACTAGACTATAGACTAGACTATAGACTAGACTATAGACTAGACTATAGACTAGACTATAGACTAGACTATAGACTAGACTAGAGACTAGACTATAGACTGGACTGTAGACTAGATTATAGACTAGACTATAGACTAGACTATAGACTAGACTATAGACTAGACTAGACTAGACTATAGACTAGACTAGACTAGACTATAGACTAGACTATAGACTAGACTATAGACTAGACTATAGACTAGACTATAGACTAGACTATAGACTAGACTATAGACTAGACTATAGACTAGACTATAGACTAGACTATAGACTAGACTATAGACTAGACTATAGACTAGACTATAGACTAGACTATAGACTAGACTATAGACTAGACTATAGACTAGACTATAGACTAGACTATAGACTAGACTATAGACTAGACTATAGACTAGACTATAGACTAGACTATAGACTAGACTATAGACTAGACTATAGACTAGACTATAGACTAGACTATAGACTAGACTATAGACTAGACTATAGACTAGACTATAGACTAGACTATAGACTAGACTATAGACTAGACTATAGACTAGACTATAGACTAGACTATAGACTAGACTATAGACTAGACTATAGACTAGACTATAGACTAGACTATAGACTAGACTATAGACTAGACTATAGACTAGACTATAGACTAGACTATAGACTAGACTATAGACTAGACTATAGACTAGACTATAGACTAGACTATAGACTAGACTATAGACTAGACTATAGACTAGACTATAGACTAGACTATAGACTAGACTATAGACTAGACTATAGACTAGACTATAGACTAGACTATAGACTAGACTATAGACTAGACTATAGACTAGACTATAGACTAGACTATAGACTAGACTATAGACTAGACTAGACTATAGACTAGACTATAGACTAGACTATAGACTAGACTATAGACTAGACTATAGACTAGACTAGAAATCAATTCAATTAGGGAAGATTAAAAATTAAGTGTTGATCCGATTTATCAAAGTCAAAACATTAATTTTATTCAGTAAAACGTTCCATATTGTTCTACAGAGTGAACAACTTGATTTTGCAGTTTTTGCTTTTTCTTTAATTTTAGATTCATATTAGATTTTCTAACATGATTGATTTGATATTAATGTTATGATTTGCTATCAAATTTCTTAACAAATGTAAAAAGTTTGAAATATAATAATTTTTGTATAATTCTTGTTTTTCTCAGAATTTAAAATAATCTGTTGCACAAAATAAAAATTCCAAAGAATTGAAATACATAAAACTATATTTTGTATTTAATATAAAAAATGAAAGATCTAACAAATATACATTACCCAGTAAACAATGAGATTCTATAAAATTTTTTATATTTAAGGTTTTTGGTGTTGTATTAATCTTTCACCAATTAAATATAAAGAAAATAAATGTTATGATATTATTGCAATAACTTTACAAATATTTAGAAAATATTTTTAATATGATTATTCAAATTTCTTAGAAAAAACATAATTTGCTGTCGGTTTTGCAAAGTTATTCAATATTAAATACTAAGTTTTTTAAATAAATTCTTTCAAAGAAGTAATTTCCTCTTCTGTATGCTTATACTGTCATTCTTTAAAAACTAACTATTTTATATTAAAGTCCCAACCAGCCACATTAATCCACTTCTAACTTAATAAAAATGTACATTTTATTTTCTTTTCCTTTCTCAGAGAGAGAGCAAAATAAATCCAAATAAATTCTTGTCAAATATTTGAAAAACTAAATGGAAAAAAAGGAAAAAAACAGTAAAAGCTTTTTATCCCGGTCATCAAATATTTATAAGGAAACAAATTTCACATCAAAAATGTCTGGGTTTTAAAACTTTTACTGTTTGTTAAAAAAAAAAACAAATAAAAATTGTAAATATAAAAGCTGTTGGGTTTTTATTACATTTAAGCCTTTAAAAATTACCAACACTTTGGAAGGATGTTTAAACTAGAGACTCTTTCTGTGTTTTAAATAAATATAAATAGTCATGTGTATTAGCAGGGCTCTTATTTTTAAAGGTCATTTTGGGGATAGTTGTCTAAAGTATTTTGTGTTGTAAACTAGTTAAAGTTATGATTTGAAATTAACATTAATTAATTTAAGAATAGTTCCCTCAGGGTTCTCTTTCCTGTGAAAGACCTCCCATTTTTTCATGGCAAATTTTAGCATTTTTACTACTTAGAATTACCAGTATAGGCTCATTTGCTAGTTTACTACTCTAACCTAGACCGTCTTCTTGTGAGTTGATGATCCCCTCCTCGCTCTTAGGAATTAACTCCTCCAGATTGTATTGTATAGTCACAGGTTGTCTAACTTTGAAGAAGACTTCTTTGAGGAGAAATAACACATACTTTTGATCTTGGAAAGGCTAGACTTAGAGTCCTTCTCAATATCTACTAGAAGAAGAGTTTATCTATGTATTTCTTTCCTGTGACGGACCTCCCACTTCTTTAAGATTAGTTTAGCATTGTGGCATAGTTTAGCGTTTAGCATTGTTTAGCGTTTGACACTTTTGTTCAATTTGATTTATTCTCATTTTTCGACTCTTGGGTGTTTGGATCCCGTTTTTTTTGTCTCAGAAAAGATTACGGAGTGTCCTGAGTTCGACTCAATATGATCTTTAGTGAAAAAGAGTGTCCTGAGCTTGACTCAATATGATCTTAAGTGATCTTCTTCAACTTCATTCTTTGTGCACTCTGCAGTGTTCAACTCCTCAGTGATCGATAGTTTGACTATGCAGTCATCGGTCACATTTCGTTGTTGGAATTCAGAGTTGAAACTTTCTCTTGTATTTAAAGAATGCTCTCTCTCACCTCTTTATGTTTGCCAATGACATGTTTAAAACTTTATTCACTGTTCGTCAAGGTATACACCTCCGTAATAATCTTTTGATCGCGGAATGACGGCTACATATGACCCTCGATCAGATCAACAATGGCCGTCGATCCTGGATTATTTAGGTCCTGCACTGTAACTTGATTAGTTTTGTTTTTGTTAAAGCATTGTCCGCTAAATTGTATACAAACTACCTACCCCTGTAGTAATCTTTTGATCATGATCGGTGGATGATGAAGACACATGATTCTCGAGCAGATCAACAATTGGGGCTGGTATTGGGTTATTTAGGCCCTATACAGTTACTTTAATAGTTTTGTTTTTTGTTGAAGCATTGTCCGCCAAAGTAACCAACTCAATAGTAGTCTTTTGATCACGATCGCAGGTTGTCGATGACATATGACTCTTAAGCAGATCAACAACGGCTTCGATCCTGGTCCTGTACCTTAACTTTATTTAATCTTTTACTTTTGTTGAAGCATTGTCCGCCGAATTACATATAAAGTACCCACCTCTATAGTAATCTTATGATCATGACCGCAGGAAAACAAAGACACATGACTCCTGAGCCGATCAACAATTAGGGCTGGTACGGTGTTATTTAGGCGCTGAACAGTAACTTTTTTGTTTTTGTTCAAGCATTGTTCGCTAAAGTACCCACCTACTGTGGTAGTCTTTCGATCACAAAACTTTCGAGCAAGTCAATTATTAAATATTTTATTTTAGTTTTCTTTTTTGATTTGTTGAAGTTTAATATCAAATAAAAGCAGGATTTAAACCCCACAAAATCTGATAAAGTTTAGATTAAAGCTTTTTACAGTGGGCTGCATTTTGGGTTGCAAACCATTCACTCTTTTATATACTTTTAAAGTTGTCACAAAGAAATT